TGTGTGTGTGTGTGTGTGTGTGTGTGTGTGTGTGTGTGTGTGTGTGTAGACTGATGGGGACGATGCCAAGCTGTTTGAGTGGCATGATGGACCACTGGTGCTGGCCATGAAAGAAGGAGGAGTGTTCCTCATGGATGAGATCTCCCTGGCAGACGACTCGGTGCTGGAGAGGCTCAACAGGTACAATTCTTGTAACCACGTGCAGCCCTCATCAACATTTTGATGTGCGTTACTTCCTGTGTTCTCAGTGGTGTGTATGCATGCTTTGGTTTATTCAAACAAGATTCAAAAGTACTATACATGTGCTTAGTATTTGTTAGAGCCTGACTGATGTGGAAATTTTGGCTATCGTCTATACTGATGTTGGGAGGGGAAGGTGACTGCCGATAAGCGATATAATGGCTGAAAATCTTTGAGCTTTGTCCACCCCCAAGGATCTCAGAAAACAGTGAGTGGGACGGGGCTTGTGTATTTAGCACAGCTGTTATCAACCATGAAGCTAAGCTAATCAGATCCACATTTTAATTAGTGCCACCCTAGATTTACAAGAGGTGCACTGGTCATAAAAACAGTCATCCTAACGTGCGTTCACATTTTCTATCCTCCACTATTCACCATAAAGTTGTCAAGTGTGTTACAAAAATATAAATTAAACAAAGAAACACCTTACTGTTCATTGTTTAAACAGTGAGTCACATTTGAAGGTTTAATTAGTGTTAATTAGTGTACAGCAGAGTTTATTTTTCTTTGCAGAGAAGTAAATATTTCAGACAATGCATTTCATTAAGGATGACAAAGATAACGTTACTAACACAGGATGTCCTCACCAACTGGAAGCTCAATCTGACTGGACTTGTTACTATAACTACTGACAACGAGGCTAATGTCATGAAGGCAGTGCAACTGAACACCAACGTTAGCTTGCTAACTTGAGAGGCGTGTAGCTAATGACAAGCGGGTTGGAGGATTGAAGAGAATTTATTGTTGATTTGTTTTCAATTTATAGATCAGTTAAAATAAACTCATCATGCTCCATACAACAAAATATGCTACACAGTATTGCTCCCTGCTAAAAATGCCCTGAAAGTGAAACTTAAGTGAACAGCCATGACTTGAAAGTAGTCTTCATGCTCCCTCTGCTGGATATATTGTACAACTACGGCTGGTTCCAGCATTTTAGGGGTGAAAATAAGAAGTGTTTATATGGGCGCATAATGGGACAAATATCACATGTCCCCAAAGGCCTATATTGACCTAAAATATTCAGCCTATCGATATATCGGTTGGGCTCTAGTATTCATTACGCATATAATAATACATACAATCACAGTTGTTATGGTAAATAATAGACTTCGGCTCACAATGGTTACCACTCAGTTTAAGTTCTTCTTGCGTAATAAAGGGAATTTCAGCCTTTTTCAGATGGTTTACAGTGAATTCATCCAGTCCGATTTGAAATTTTGCTGTGTTTAGGTTTAATAAAACGTTTTTTTATAAAGTTTATCACATTATCTTACAACAAGGTGATAATTTTTGGTTGTTTTATTAGTTTTTTTTTTAATTGTTGAGTTGCTTAACATTTATTTGCAGTATTTATTCAGCTTGAACGTGTCCCACTCATTGGAAACATTGTGTGGTTTATTTAGTGACATGTTGTCATCATATATAGACGAATACTTGCAGGTATTAAAGCCTTTGCAGAAGTTCTGACTCTGTTTGTTGTCAGTGTGCTTGAGACAGAAAAGTCCCTGGTGCTGGCTGAGAAGGGGAGCGGAGACGACGATGACGTGGAGCTGATCAGAGCAGACGCAGGTTTCCGTCTTGTTGCTACCATGAACCCTGGAGGAGACTTCGGCAAGAAGGAGGTTTGTAACACTTGAGTGCAGCCATGGAAGGAATTAAACAATAAATTCATGTACGTCCACATTCAGGTCTAAGGTTCCATAATACAAGGTGCATGACCGTCCTCAAGTGAAGAGAGGCTGAACTTCCTGTGAACGTTGAGCTGATTAAGTCAGGTTTATTCTGACTTCTGTGAAGTGAGCACTGCTCACTCTTTGTACACCTCACCACACTGTCACTGAGAGCAAACAGCTGCTGTGTGGCACGTTTACAAAATGGCTCCAAAGTCCAGTCCGTCTTGAGGCTGCCTCAGACCATTGCTAAATAATTAATGAAGTCAGCCTCCCCCCGCAAAGATGGGAGCTTTGCAGAACTAAATGAGGTGTGGATCAGAACTCAGCTGTGTTGACATAGAGCACTACACATTAAATGTGTCAGGAACATCTCCCTTGTATCACTGTCCAAACAGTTTAATGGTTCACATTTTCCACACAGGAAAACTCAGGGAATTTGAGTAAAACATCAAATATCTGGGAATCTGAACTGATCTTCTGATTAAAATATGATCTTCAAAACATTTTGACATGAACATGTATTAATGGTAGTATTCTAGTATCATGAAGTCCATGTTCTTCTACAGTGTTTATAGTACATTTATACTCACTGATTGACTCTGGTGGTTTGTTAGTTTCTGATATTATACAAAATAATTATTAGAAATGATTGCTGTATGCACAGACTGCATGCTACAGTGTACTTCCTGTCATTTCTCTGAATGTGACTCTTGGGTGATTTGTGTGACTGAAATATCTCCTGCAATTACAGGATTTACTCGAGGAACAATCTGGGAATTTTGTTTTCATGAAATACTGGGAACCCTGTTACAGTGAAGCAGTTTTTTTCCTAAATTCAAAGTTGCTGTTTGTCATCGTTCCATCTTTTCTGTAATGAATTTTTATCCTTTAGGCTTTTAAACCCTGCAGCCTGCTGATCTCACATGCACATATTCAGTTCAATTCATTTCAGTTTATTTATATAGAGCCAAGTCACAACAGAAGTCATCTCAGGGCACTGAACAGAAACATTCACATACATAAAATATAATGTATATTATTGCAATTATATAATAACTATATTATTATATAGCATAATATAGAGTATGGTAGCACAGACTGTATGTCTTCGCTAGCTTGCGTTTCTGAGCCGTTAGAATGTCATGGCTCTGTTACGACCTCGCCTGGTCATAAAGACAGATTGACTTCAGCTCCCCATCCCGCTTCATCGCATGCAGAAATCACACCGAGACGGCCAGAAGACGTCTCAGTCCCAGCTTGAAGTGTTTTGTGAAAGTTCCTGTACTGAGAGTTCGGCTGTTTGTCGGTGTGGGGGTCATCTCTCACTGCTGTGTTCTCTGTTTTGGACAGCTCTCTCCTGCTCTCAGGAACCGCTTCACAGAGATCTGGTGTCCTCAGTCCAACAGACGCAGTGACCTGGTCCACATCATCCAACATAACCTTCGCCCCGGCCTCTCACTGGAAGGTAAACTAAAGGATTAAGATTTGTTCTGAAAGTATCAACACTGAGCCGACGTCACTCTGTTGTTGTCCTGTTTATCATTTCTTCTGTAAGCGTTAATAAATTCATAACTACTTCAGGAAACTTTCAGCTATTTCAGACATTCAGATATGAAAATGTTCAAAACATTACAGGACGTTGTTTATTTGAACTTTTTAACTTTATTTGCATTTTTAGAAACGCATCAATATCTGAATTCCTTTGAAAAACTGTGCGCTTTGAAATCTTTTCAGTACACTTGCTTCATTTTTTTAGCTACTGTTTGGCCAGTCTTAGCTTTTAGCTACTGTTCTGATAGTTTTAGCTACTGTTCATCTAGGTTTAGCTTTGGGCCACTGATCAACTAGTTTTAGGGTTTACCTGCTTGTTAGCTGGTTTTGTGTTTACCTTTTGCTAATTTTAGCTTTTAGCTTTTGTTTAGCAAATTTTAGCTTTTTGCAACTGTTCAGCTGGCTTAGATTTTTAGCTGTTGTTTAGCTCAATTTAGTGTTTAGCCTTTGCCAGCTTTAGCTTTTAGCTACTGTTTGGCCAGTCTTAGCTTTTACCTACTGTTTAGCATTATCATGAATAGCTAACCAGTATAATCACTGTGAAAAATCACATCATGTTGCTGCTGATCTGTTTCATGTTGATGTGTTCATTCGTGCTCATCTGTTCACACAGACTCATGTTCGTGCTGCTGTTCGGCGTATTGTTTTTATGCTCTTAGTGCTTAGTGTATATTTAGTTAATGTTTTTCTTAGTTCATATCTTAGATGTTATTACTGTTTTTCTTTTACATTTTATTGTTGGATGTAACTGGGACCCTGTGTACATAATTTTGTTCCACCACATGTACCACATGGGGTACGAATGACAATAAAGAATCTTGAATCCTTGAACTGCTGTTCGTTCAGCTGGGTTTAGCTTTGGGCCACTGGTCAGCTAGTTTTAGTGTTTACCTTTTGCTAATTTTAGCTTTTATCTTTTGTTTAGCAAATGTTAGCTTTTAGCAGCTGTTTAGCTGGTTTAAGCTGTTAGTTGCTGGTTAATTGAGTGTAGTGTTTAGCCTTTGCTAATTAAAGCTTTTATCTTTTGTTTAGAAAATTTTAGCTTTTAGTTACTCTTCAGATGGGTTAAGTTTTTAGCTACTGGTAAGCTGAGTTTAGTGTTTAGTCTATGCTAATTTTATCCTTTAGCTACTATTTAGCTAGTTTAAGCTTTTAGCTGCTGGTTAGCTGAGTTTTGTTTAGTCTGCTAGTTTTAGCTTTTATCTTTTGTTTAGAAAATTTTAGCTTTTAGCTACTGTTCAGCTGGGTTTAGGTTTTAGCAGCAGGTCAGCTGGATGTTTAGCCTTTACTAATATTAGCTTTTAGCTTTGGTTTAACATATTTCAGGTTATAACATTTGTTTAGCATATGTATCTTTCAGCTACTGTTTTACTAATTTTAGCTACTATTTTGCTTGTTTAAACTTTTAACAGTCATTTAATGTATTCATCTACAAGTTCCAGCTGGCGCTCAGCGCTCACCCTGTGATTGGTTGATTGTTCTCTGGTGATCAAACGTGTCAGATCTGCTGAGTATGTGAATCTTTCACCGAACTGCAGGGGGCGACATCGCGGAGCTGATGCTGGACTTCATCGGGTGGCTGACCCAGCAAGACTTCGGTCGTCGCTGCATTCTGAGCGTCAGAGATATCCTGTCCTGGGTTAACTTCCTCAATGCTGTGAGCCAGCCGGACAGCAGCAGCTCCATGAATGTGGAGGCTGTGGAGGAAGAAGAGGAAACAAATGGTCTGGACACCATTACAGCGTTTGTCCACGCTGCATGTTTGGTGTACATAGATGGCATTGGCTCAGGTGAGTTAACAGCTTGTCTATGAGTGTTGGGGTCAGAGCAGGTGTCTGGGTCTGGTCACTGGTCTGGTTCTTCCTGCAGGAACCACAGCGTCGTGTGAAGATGATGCTCTCTCAGCTCGGCAGATGTGCCTGGGCTTCCTGCAGCAGAGGTTGAGGAAGATGACCAGGCTGGATCAGGAGGTGATGGACAACCTGAGACTCTACGACAGCAGCTTGCTGCGAGAACCCCGGTGGGGAGAAGACTTCTTTGGTATCGAGCCCTTCTACGTGACCTTAGGTATGAACTTCGTTTATAACTTGGGTCTGAGATGTCAGAGTGAGAAGGATTGGGAAACTGTTGTTGATGGCTCTTCAAAGTGGAGGTGTAGAACAAGTGCAAATGGAGCCAACAAGAAGTTTATCTTATTGATAACTTCAAACATTAAATTATTTCATTCCTTGTGTTTAATGATTGTTATACTTGATTAAAAACCACACAGAGACATTTTTACAGGATATTTTAAAAGTTATCCAGTTGTGTGATATTCTTGTAATTGTGTCCTTTATACTTTGTCCCTTTAAATCCTTGGTCAAGTTATGCCCAATAGTTAAAAGGTATTTTAAAGTTACTGCATATTTGTTGTGTACGGTAGCCCCTCGCTACTTTGTGGTTCGCTTATTGTGGACTCCCTCTATCGCGGTTTTTCAAAATAAGTTTGGACATGACGCACAATTGGATGAGCTGCACGACTGGCATGAAATTTTTATTTAAAATATTTAAAATTATTTAGCACTTGCACCTTTGTGCAGCCCACACAGCAGGATAAACTTGTTGCTGCAGCTCATCAGCTGATCTCCGTGCAGAGCGGAGAAGTGGGCGTGGCCAAGAAGCTTGCAGGTGGCTGAGAGCAGCGGAGGCAGGGAGCTGAAATCATGACATTCCGTGCTCTTTTAGAGCGTTTAGAGTTTAGAAACATTGTTTATAATATTGCAAGACT